GAGTTCTAGAGTTCTGGTTGATATTTTTTTGCACAAATTTGCTGTTACTGGCCTTTATAATTTTTTTTTTTTTAAGAGACAGAGTCTCGCTCTGTTGCCCAGGCTACAGTGCAGTGATGTGATCTCGGCTCACTGCAACCTCTGCCTCCTGGATTCAAGTGATTCTCCTGCCTCAGCCTCCTGAGTAGCTGAGAGTACAGGCGTGTACCACCACACCCAACTAATTTTTGTATTTTTGGTAGAGACGGGATTTCGCCACATTGGCCAGGCTGGTCTTGAACTCCTGACCTCAGGTGATCCGCCTGCTTCAGCCTCCCAAAGTGCCGGGACTGCAGGCGTGAGCCACCGCGCTGGGCCAGCCTTTTAAATTTTAACCATTTCCATGGGTATGTACTGATTATCTGGCAGTTTGATATACTATATTTTCAATACCATTCAGTTCAAATAATCCAGTTCAAATTATTTTCCAATTTCATTTGTGACTTCTTTGAATCATGGTTTATTTAGAAGCATGCTGCCTTAATTTTCAATACTGGGAATTTTCTTGTTATGTGGTTGCTTATACTTCTAATTTAACTGTGGTCAGAGAAAACAATGTATGAGTTGAATATCTTTTTAATGACTTTTTAAGAGCAGTTTTAGGTTCACAGCAGAATTGAGAGCAAGGTTCAGAGATTTTCCATATAGCCCTCCCCGAGCAAATACATAACCTACCCCCGTCATCAGCATCCCCACCAGGGCGCTGCATTTGTTACAACAGATGAACCTGCACTGACACATCCTGACCACCTCAAGTCCACTTTTCACGTTAGGGTTGACTCTTGGTGTTGTACATTCTGTGGGTTTGCAGCAGTGTATAATGATGTGTAACTGCAGAAGACCCTGAATGGCCTTGGCCAACTCAGCTCCTCTCCCTCATAATTCTCAGGCAGAACGCAGCATCCTGAGATAAAAATGAAATGTTTGGGACAAACTGGCTCGGTCGGCATCTCTCCTAGAGCAGGATGTCATGCAACACCTGTGTATGGTGAGCCCCGCTGTGTCCAGCATATAAAACTCAGAGTGGAGCTCTTTGGGGTTCCTCAGCTCTGGGGCAGAGTGGAGTAGATGCAAACTCCATCCATGCTCGACAGCTTTCCTGAGCTTTAGGAAACTGGTTCACCGTGGATCCCAGGCTGCCGTTTATCCCTGCTGCCTATGTTCGAGTAATAAATTGACGTTGCCTGACATGCCATGTGTGCTGTTTGACCAGACTCTCACTCTGCTCGCTAGGTTTGTTCAGAACCTCCTGTCAGGTCTGGGAACCTGTGCAGTATCCATCATTACAGCATACAGAGTACTTTTACTGCCCTAAAATCTGTGTGCTCCCTCTATTCATGTCCTCCCATACCCCCACCCCAATACAACCACTACTCTATTTCCTTTTTTTATTGAGACAGAGTCGCGATTTGTTGTCCAAGCTGGAGTGCAGTGACATGATCTTGGCTCACTGCAACCACTGCTTCCTGGGTTCAGGCGATTTTCAGGCCTCAGCCTCCCAAGTAGTTGGGATTACAGATATGCACCACCACGCCCAGGCAATTTTTGTATTTTTAGTAGAGACGGGGTTTCGCCATGTTGGCCAGGCTGGTCTCGAACTCCCAACCTCAGGTGATCTGCCCTCCTCAGCTTCCCAAAGTGTTGGGATTACAGGCATGAGCCACTGCTCCCGGCCTTATTTTCTCCGTAGTATCACCATCTAGCCATTCACCTACTGAATGACATCTTGATTGCCTCAAAGTTTTGACAATGAGGAATAAAGCTGCTATGAACTTCCACATGCAGGATTTTGTGTGGACATAGTTTTCAGTATCTTTGGGCAAAAACCAAGGAGTGTGATTTCTAGATAGTAAGGTGAACTTGGTTCTGTTTTGTAAGAAGCTGCCAAACTGTCCTCCAAGGTGGCTGTACCATTTTGTATTCCGATTTGAACCTTTTTGTATTTACTGAGACTTGTTTTATGACCCAGTATATGTTTTATCTTGGTGAAGTTACCACGTGGACTTGAAAAGAATGTGTATTTTGCAGTTTGAGGCGTGGGGCAGTGCTCCATGCTCCATTTATAGAGCAATTAGGTCAAGGTAGTTGATGGTGTTGTTCAGATATTCTATTCCTTTTCTGTCTTTTTTGCCTAATTTTATCAATTGCCGAAAGAGGACTGGTAAAAGTTCCTACAGGTTTGTAGATTTGCCTATCTTTTTGCTAATTTGTGCTTCACATATTTTGAAGCTCACTGATTAGAAACGTAAGTTTTTGTCTGTTATGTCTTGTGGACAAACTGATCTTTTATCCGTATGAAATGCTCTTCTATTTTCAGAAGTTTCCTGTGTTAAAGTCCACACCACCTCATATTATCTGGTATCAACAGACTCCAGTGCCAAATTCTGAGTGTCTTCTCATTGTCTGCATTTTCATTTATGTACTCACAACCTGTATATCTTTGCCATCAGCATACAGCTAAGTCTTAGTTTAACTGTTTTAAAAAGTCTACTCTGACCATCTTTAAGGGGAATTTTTAAACATAAAAATTACATAAAATTTAAATGTAATGGAATTATATACCTCTGTCTATATTCTCCCATTTTGTTGATTTTGCCTCCCCACTGCCCCTGCTTCCTCCTTTCCTGCCTTCTTTTGGGTAAGTGTCTCTTTACAGTAGCTACTTTTGCAGGCGAGGGTGGGAGGATGCATTCTTAAGGCAGACTTAATACAGTACCACTTCATGAGAAATGTAAGAATGTTGCAATAATCTAGTTCCATTTATCCCTTCCATGGTCAAAGGCTATGTTATATGACAGTCAGCATTTCCCAAATCAATGTCTGTGAGCTCTGAATTCAAAAGAAACTCTAACCACTTATGTCTAGATGTAGCAATACAACTCCACATATTCCATAATACTCAGTGGTCTCGTAGCATTTGTGTGGTATGGTGATAGGCACAACTTTGTCTCTAAATAAGATCCTATGTTTTCTAAATATGTGATGATATGATTATGGTTTTTATGCATGTCAGAGCAAAACACTGCAGCCTGTTAATACTTGTTTCACAGTTCTACTGGTTGCAGTATGTATTGGATATGAAGCAGAGTATAATAAATATTCTTCCAAAGCACAGAAGTCTGTGTATTTCCTTTTATCTTTTTTTCGAGACAGAATCTTGCTCTGTTGCACAGGCCAGAGTGCAGTGGCACGATCTCGGCTCACTGCAACCTCTACCTCCCAGGTTTAAGCAATTCTCCTGACTTGGCCTCCCGGGCAGCTGAAATGACAGGTGCGCTCCACCACACGCAGCCAATTTTTGTATTTTTAGTAGAGATAGGGTTTCACCATACTGTCCAGGCTGGTCTCGAACTCTTGACCTCATGATCTACCCTCCTAGGCCTCCCAAAGTACTGGGATTACAGGTGTGAGGCACTGCACCTGGCCATATTTCTTTTTAATCTTAACAATGAAGCATAACAAGGGTATCTGAGGAACAATATTACTCAGGAATAGCTGACAGAACATTAAGAGGTGTTACAACTCTCAGTGCTTCTTAAACTTCAGTAGCTAAAATCTCCTATTAAGTTTTTTAGTAGGCCAGGCGCGGTGGCTCATGCCTGTAATCCCAGCACTTTGGGAGGCGAAGGTGGGCGGATCACGAGGTCAGGAGATCGGGACCATCCTGGCCAACATGGTGAAACCTCATCTCTACTAAAAATACAAAAATTAGCTGGATGTGGTGGCGTGTGCCTGTAGTCCTAGCTACTCGGGAGGCTGAGGCAGGAGCATTGCCTGAACCCAGGAGGTGGAGGTTGCAGTGAGCCGAGATCACACCACTGCACTCCAGCCTGGTGACAGAGGGAGCCTCTGTCTAAAAAAAAAAAAAAAAAAAAGTAAAAAAAGTTTTTTAGTAAATGAAATTTGTAACCCCTGAACCTCTAGATATTGATTCAGTGGGTCTGGGTTAGAGGTCACACACCTCTGTATATCTCACTGTAGGTGGTCCATACACACTACACATACCTTGCCTTAGCTTTAAGAATCACTTTTAAATTCTGAACAGACTGAGATGTGTTTGACCAGGACATCAGTCCATGTGTCATCTGCTTAGAGCCTATAGTGACCATCTAAGGCAATCCTGTCTCCTTCATGCTCTTTTTTCCTTTCACAACACCCTCTTTATTTGCTGCATAGCATGTATATTCACATGTAATTATTTACTTCTCAGTCAGTCTCCCTACACTGTAAATCCCCTTATTTGACATAAGCTCCATGTGAGAATAACATGTTTGGATTACTCACAGCGCCTAGTAAAGAGTTAAACATAGTAAATGCTCAATAAATAATGTTCAAAAGAATAATTTATTCCAAAAAACATAAAATCAGATGTTGGGAAGTTCACCAAACACCAAATGTCTTGAGTTCACAGTATTTTCAGCAAAACACAGAAAATCAAATAACACAGTGCTTCCCCTTAGCCAAGAAAATCTGGTTCAAAAAGAGAAGTGTGCCAGAAGATAATTTGGGAGAGGCCACATTCAAGTAACTTTTATTACAATGTATTGTTATAATTGTTCTATTTTATTGTTGTTGTTAATCTTTATTTACTGTGCCTTTATCATAGATATGTATGCATGGTACAGGAAAAAGCAGAGCATACACAGGGTTTGGCGCTATCCGAGGTTTCAGCCATTCACCGGGGGTCCTGGAATGGATCCCTGCGGATAAGTGGGGAGCTGTGTGTACATTATGACCACTCCCCTAACCGAACCTAGCGTTTGACAAAGAATGGCTTCAACTGTCGTGAATGACAGCCAAAGTCACAGTTAGGGGTAGGGAGACTATTTTGAATTAGATCATAACATCGTATTGCTCATAAGCTTTATTTCGACTAACGTTACATACGTACAAAAAGTATGCACCGTAAGGACACACACCAAGCTGGGCCGCAGGGAAGAAACATATTGCTTAGGATTTACCTAGTCAGCCGCTTCTAGAGAGCAAGCACCGCGCAAAGCCGCTGGAGCTCGTGCTGTGGACGCCAGTGGGGTGAGGCTGTGCTGGCGGGGTAACCCGGGACCCAGCCGGGAAAAAACGGCTGACGCCACACTCACACTCCTAAGGAACGCCAACGCCCTGGCAGCCAGCCCCGCTTGGCATCTCTTCCGGGAAGCGTGGCCGGGACTCGTATCGCGCTGCGCTTGCGCACTGAGGTTTCGCGTAAGGAACCAATGGGACGGAGGAGTGGGCGGGCGGTTGGCAGAAACCCGGATTCCGGTTCCGGTGGGCCTCCGTCAGTCCGCTCCAACGCTACGTGTCTCTGGCGTTTTAGGTGGAGGCTGGGCAGGTGAGTTTCTTCCCACCGGTGGGCACAGGCGAACTGGGCGGCCAAGGCTTTGCGACTCGCGGGGGCGGCGGGCGTGGGCGAGCCGGCTTGTCTCCCCGGGAGGCCGTGGTGCGGCTGGCGGAGAGTGGGCCCTTGGCTGAGGTCCGGGGCGGGGGTCTGGCCGCCTGCATCCCACCAACCCGGCCTCTGGTGGAAGGCAGACCCGGGGAGCGGGGTCGCCGGCCCGCGGGCCTCCAGAGCTTAGCGTCCTGGCCGGGTGTCTTCTGTGCTGCAGTGGAACATGATGGCCTGCTTCCCGGATTCGGGGCTGTGTCTGTTACGGGTGTGGAGTCCTGTCTGGGAAGAGCTGTAGTCAGCCTTGGCCCCGCCGCTGCTCCGAGGTTTAAAGTGAGAGCATTGGTTAGAGTCTATTTCGAGAAATCATAGTTGGTTTTTGGATCTCTGCCCCTGACATTGAGTGCGGTATTGTGAGTAGCGAGCATTTTTCTGGATAAAGAGTTCTTAGCTTCCTTCATGACAACTATGATTACAAAAAGTTTAAGCCCTTTGGATTTCAAGAGCAAAGTTAAGTGAAATACAGAAGAAACAGACATTACTGTGTTTTTGCCCCAGTCCGTTGCAGAACCTTTTGTTTCATTGACATTTCGTTGTTTATAGCCTACATTAGGCTAGGGAACCGGGAATTACAGAGGTTTACATTCCATAGCCAGTGATTTCAACCACCACCTGGTCACTGTTCTAAGTACTAGAAATGGAGGAAAATACAAGTAACACCCTGGCCTCTTTACTTACTATAGCCGTGGCTCTCAAAGCTGAGATCTGATGATATTTCTCTTGGGTAATAGATTCCTCGAAAGAACCTATATGGTAAATTGTATATCTCTTTTTCCTTAAAAGATGTGTTCAAACCAAAAAGTTTGGAATTTAGCTAGTAGCTTCTCAGAATCTGCATCTTGCTTTAGCCATTCTTTATAGTTTAGAAAAGTATGTTGTATTGGTACGTTTTAGAAAAATCAGATTGAAATTCACGTTTGCCTCCATTTTAGGCTCTTGCAGCAACCATAGTTGGCATTCACTGTATAAGACACTGGCTTCTGCATAGTTTAAAATATAATATGGAAAGAAATTGTAGGATTTCAACGTTGATAGTTCTTTAGCAGGAGTGGTAATGGGTGGGACTGCAGAGTGAGAAAAGGAATGGATGTGTTATCAGTTGCTTAACCTTTTTTTTTAACCTTTTAATAGAGATAGGCTTTTTATATTGAGTGTGCGATTCTTTGTCAGAGAAGATGAGTAAGATCTTTGCTTATTGCCTTTGATCCCATACTTAACTGAAATTTACAAAAATATATCAATTTAGGCTTTGGAGTTTGTTTTTTGTTTTATTTTAGGAGGTGGAGCTGACCCATATTAGACGTGAATTCAGTGGCTGGTCTCATGTACATCTTGATGTAAATGAGCAAGTCCTTACTGTATGATAACCAATGTCAGTGAGCATCTTTGTTTGTTTTAAGCAGGCAGCCATGGATCAGGTAATGCAGTTTGTTGAGCCAAGTCGGCAGTTTGTAAAGGACTCCATTCGGCTGGTGAAAAGATGCACTAAACCTGATAGAAAAGGTAATTGCTTGACCGTGAGAGAAAATTAAATCTTTGCATTTTCTAAGCCTTTTGTTTCATTAACATCTTCTTGATAGCCATTGCATTATATTCATCAACATTTTTATTGATTGATACTGCTCGACGGCTTCTTAACATTGTCATGTCTTCCTAAATTTTTTACTCTTGTCTAAATTTTTATTTTATGTATTTTCAAATGGTGTAAGATTATTTACTACAGCCTCATGTTCCATGTTACATTCGAGTTAGTAATATTTTGACTTTAGCGTCTTATATGTTTCCTCTTTGGGGAAGCTTTGGAGTTCTCCCTCCTCAGCTCCCACCCCAACAAACAAAACCTTAACATGAAACCAACAATATAGTTTTTCCAAGCTAGAAAGTTGCTTTTGTTATTTATCATGATTCACGTGTTAAATTGCTCTACTTTTATTCATTCATTGAGTTAGGAGCTGGTAATATAACAGAGAATATAACATGTATGTAATGTAGTATATAAATAAAGAGAATAGTCCTTGATATCGTGGAGCTTAGAATCTATCAAGGAAACGCTCATAAACAAATTGTTGCAATTATGTTTTTTAATTACTGCTATGGTAAGTATTATGGAAGATAACTAGAAGGCAGTTTTACAGCACATAACAGGAGGACTAACCAAGTCAGAAGATTAGGGAAAGCTTCTCTTAGGAAGTAACAAAATGAAAACATTACCAGGGTAATATTTTATAAAATTGTGCTCAACTCAGTTTGATTATTTGTATTTTATTTTTTCGAGACAGAGTCTCACTGTGTTGCCCAGGCTGGAGTGCCGTGGCGCAATCTTAGCTCACTGCAACCTCCACCTCCCAGTTTCAAGCAGTTCTCCTGCCTCAGCCTACTGAGAAGCTGGGGTTACACGCCACCATGTCTGGCTAATTTTTGAATTTTTAGTGGAGTCTGGGTTTCACCGTGTTGTCCAGACTGGTCTCAAACTCCTGACCTCAGGTGATCCACCCGCTTCTGCTTCCCAAAGTGTTGGGATTACAGGCAAGAGCCACCATGCCTGGCCCAATTTGAGTTTTCAGGCCTTAATTTTGGCTTCATTGTAGTATCAAAGACAATGGACCCATTGTTTATAGTGTACCAAAAAAAAGATATGTTTCTGCCTGTATAATCAACATGTTATAATAAAAATCACAATGTTACATTTTAAAATTTAAGAAAAATAATGTATATTTCTTGTATCCATGACCTTTTTTTGGTATATTCTGGTTATTTGTTAATAAGAAAAAATATTTTTAGTACTTGTTGATGAACTCACTAGCACAGACATGCACTATTTGTTTCCTTAAATATAAAGAAAACATGGAAATTTAAAAACCTGTGAAACAAGTTGTTTACTATTAATAGTCTCACCTTTTTTCTTTTAAGTTACATATCTGTTAACAGGAGAAATGTGTACTAGTTAAGTTCATTTATGTTGCTGATAGTTTTTTTCCCCATACTTTCAGTGACAGTGCAAAAAATATGTGAATTTCGTGTTTTTAAATGCAGAATTCCAGAAGATTGCCATGGCAACAGCAATAGGATTTGCTATAATGGGATTCATTGGCTTCTTTGTGAAATTGATCCATATTCCTATTAATAACATCATTGTGTAAGTAAGCTTTATTAAATAGACTAGGATTAAATGAAACTTGAAACCATTTGAGATGACAGGCTGCTATTGCGTTAATACAGAGATACATCTCTTGACTTTTTTGTGCTATTGGAGTTTACTGATATTTACAAGTACCCAATAATTGAGTGCTTTTAGACCTTACATGATCTTTCCAGAAATTCTGTATGCTAGGCACTATTTCAATAAATAAAATTTTAGAGTCCAAAAAGTATTAAAGGCACTCGTATGTCACAAAACCAGCATTGAAACCTGCCCTCTTTGTGGTGTATCTTGTTAATTTCCAAGGTGCAGAGGAATTGCTTCCCATCCAAAAATCACTGCTGTGATAGAATTCTAACTCTGGACCAGATTGCCTAGATTCAAATCCCTTTTCTTGTTAAGCAGTAGCTGTCCTCTCTGTGCCCAGTTTAGTCAGTGGGATAATAGTTCTTAAATTATGACTTTGAAGTCAAGTAAGGCCCCAGAAACAATTGGAGTAAGAATAGAAGTGAAAGTTGTTGCTGTAATGAGCCACTGATACTGATCGCAGTTTAGGCCAAGGACTTAGTATGAGTTTCAACATGTACTTACTCTGTGATTTTTTTTTTTTGTATGTATTTAATCTCAGCCTCATTCGCTGTTTGGAGGTAATAAAATCTATTATTACCTGATAATATCAGTTAAGCACCAATTAAGTGTTTGTTGAATTAAGTGAACAACTTCAGGTTCTTTGCCTTTTCCGATGGTGATGGTGGCAATAATAATAGTTCACATTCATCGAGAACTTTCTGTATGCTATTGATATCTATCCAATATCAATCAGTAATATCAGTTGATTTTACGGGGTGGTAAAGTTTGAAGCAATGATTTTAAAAAGGTTTCTGAACTGTAAATCTCCTAATTACTGGGTATTTTATCACAGATACTAGTACAGGTTGCCTTTTAAATGACAACAATGTGTATTGTCAGAGGGATTTCTTAAGTAGGTCGCCATAGTTATTAAGCAGAAGTGCCACAAAGTGATATTCAGGCTCATGAATAGTTAAGAGCTAGATGGGCCCAAGTCACTGAGATCGCCTTTGTCAGTTCAGAAATCCCTTCTATTTTACCAGTGAGAAGTGCCAACTGTGGAATTGTGGAATCCTGGGGAGAATACTGAAGTAGAATGAGGAAATCAGTATGAAGTGGCAGTCTCTGACAAGTCCCTTTTTCATTCTCAGTGCTGCTGCTCTTCTTGCTTCCTATTCTGTCATGAGACAGATTTAATTGATAGGAAGTGTTTCTTCACAATGATAACAAAATTAGTTTCCTGTGATAATCACCCTTCATTGTTCTTAGTGTAGTACCCTCCAGAAGATCATGTAAGCCCAGCTTTTCCAATTTTTGGTATACAAGCAGCTTTCAAATTTCCCCCCGCTTCACTTAACCTATATTTTTGTCTCTTTTGCCGGACATCACTGTCTGCCTTGTGTCATACTCATATAGGTTCGTCTTTCACATTAGATTATGAGTTGTGGGGAATGCCTACCTTTTTATTTATATTATGTGTGTCTCCTATAGAATCTAGTCCAGAGCCCTCTTGTATCCCTTAAAAGCACTGAATAAAGTGAGCAACTACAGGTTCTTGCCTTTTCTAATGGTGATGGTGGCAATGATAATAGTTAACATTCATTGAGAACTTTTCATGACTCTGTGTGTCCACTCATTTAATCTTCATGGGGAAACTGAGGGATGAGGAGATTAAGTAACCTACTCGGATTGCATGGCAACACAGGAAACCTTTCAGAAGCTACTTAGAAAACTTTCCTTCCAGTTAAAAAAGTGGTTTCATTGTTTAAGGAGTTAAAAATCTATCCTTAGATATTTTTTACCTTAATGTGAAGGCCAGTTAAAACCTTTTGTGAGAGACACTACAGAGAACATACTCTTTCCTCATGTTATGCCATGATAGCTGTAAAACTGAAAGGAATCTCTCTTTCCCTACATGAAAGAGCGTAAATCATTGTTTAAATCATTTTGAGGTAGTAGCAAGGGAAGTACTCATTGGGTTGAATTATCAGTTTTTTCTCATGATTTTTTTCTTTTTCTTTATAATTATAGTAGTCAAAATTAATATTCACGGTATTAGAATTTAAGATAATTAAGCACTTGCTGGCCTTTTAGTTACAGCAATACTATTTAATAGCATAAGCATTTAAAATACTAAGCATTAAAATATATACTCAGGAGTATTCTATTTAATAAGTTTTTTTTTCCTTTTTTTTGAGACAGAGTCGCACCACCACACCTGGCTAATTTTTTTTATTTTTATTGTTAGTAGAGACAAAGTTTCATCATGTTGGCCAGGCTGGTCTTGAACTCCTGACCTCAAGTGATCTGCCTGCCTCAGCCTCCCAGAGTGTTGAGATTACAGGTGTGAGCCACCACGCCTGGCCTGTTTTACATAATTTTCATCTGGTAATGAAATTATATTTCTTTATTTAACATTACTACAATGTATACCTGACTACACAGTTTTAATGTTCATGCTTTTAAAACTCAGAAGTTCTTCTGTAGAAAAGGTGATTTTTGTTTCCATCATGACTAACCCAGATTTTTGAATGATTATGGTAAGATACAGTGCTTGAGCAGATTTTTCAATGATTATGGTAAGATTCAGTGCTTGAGTGCCTCGTGCTCATCTGCAGTCTATTTTCTGCTGGTGTGTTCTCCTGGTGTGTCAACGTTATCAAATTGGAAAGCTGCTCAACTAAACATCCTGTCATGTAATTGATAGTTTATGTTGTGTTCGGAAAGACATTATACTAGACTGTTCCAAGATGGCAATTCCTGAATGAGCATTGTGAGTTTAAAAATAGACCTCTCCCAGTAGCCACATCATCTTTTCAGGTTTAGGATTTTCAAGTTCACTGTGCCATTCTTTTTGCCATCTTTAGATAAAGTTAGGTGTTGTTCAAGTAATTAGTCTTAACCCCTTAAAATCATAGCATATTGCATTTCAAATAATAATTATTAAAATCTTATCTGTGCTCAGAGGTAACAATTTTTCTTTCTTTTACAGTGGTGGCTGAATACATTTTGGAAGAGAGTTTTTCATCTTAGAGACTGGTGAACAAGTGGTGAGGGTGTGAGAAGCTCACAGCATACAAATTTGCCTCTATGTTTTGTGGGTTGTTTTCTCTTTCAAAACGTTTTCTATTTCTAAATTAAAGTAATTTCAAAGTAAATAAATATCCCGTTTTTCTGTCATAGATACTTATCACATTTCAGCTATAGAAAATAGTAGATTCTTTCTCTGAATAATTTGGTTTATAAAAGAAATTAAAGGGCCTGGTGAAATATTCATCTTTCTGAGAGCTCTTGTGTTTTAGTTCCTTTGTGCTGGTATTATAAAATACCTGAGACTGGGTAATAAATAATAAAACTTTATTCTCACTGTTCTGGAGGCTGGGAAGTCCAAGATCAAGGTACCAGCAGGTTTGGTGTCCAGTGAGGGCATGGTCTCTGCTTACAAGCTGGCACCTTAAATGTTGTGTGCTCACATGGCAAAAGGGATGGAAGGGCAAAAGGAGCAAGGGCTTTGGGAAGCCTCTTTGATAAGGGCCTTCATCCCATTCATAAGAGAGGAGCCCTGTGACCTCCTCACCTCTTAAAGATTCCAAATGTAATCTCCATTTTCTTTATATATATATGTATGTGTGTGATTACATTTCTTTATATATATGATTACATTTCTTTATATATAAGATATATGTATGTGTGTATATATATATATATACACACACGTGTGTGTGTGTGCATGCGTGCGCGTGCGCACCCTAGAGATAGGGTCTTGCTCTGTCACCCAGGTCATAGCTCACTGCGACCTCAAACTCCCGAGCTCAAGCCATCTTCCTGCTTCAGACTCCCAAATAGCTGGACTACCAGCACATGCCACGATGTCTAGCTAATTTTTTGTAGAGGTGGGGTATCACTATGTTGCCCAGGCTGGTCTTGAACTCTTGACCTTAAGCAGTCCTCTCACCTTGGCTCCCAAAGCGCTGTAATTATAGGGCTAAGCCACTGTGGTTGTCTGGAGATTGAATTTCAATATGAATTTTGGAGGGACATAAACCTTCAAGTTATAGCATCTGCTGTCAGATAAATGTTTTTTATGGTCAAAGAAGAAACAGCAAGTAAAAGATGGTTGTTCCCTATTAGAACTTGAGGGTAGGGCAGGAGTTTTTCTGTAAGCGCTTAATTTTTTTTTTTTTTTTTCCAGACAGAGTTTCATTCTTGTTGCCCAGGTGGAGTACAATGCCGCCATCTCAGCTTACCACAACATGCACCTCCTTAGTTCAAGCAATCCTCCTGCTTCAGCCTCCCGAGTAGCTGGAATTACAGGCATGCGCCACCACGCCTGGCTAATATTGTATTTTTACAGAGAGAGTTTTACTATGTTGGTCAGACTAGTCTTGAACTCCTCGAACTCAGGAATTTTAAACAGGTAGTCAAAATTATTATAGTTTAGAGGCTACTTGAAATAGTTTCCTAGAATTATGATTAAAACTTAAAAGTGAGAGGTCCTCTTCTAGATGTAATGAGTCAGTCACTCTATCTTGAGCACTGGAGGCCTGAATTTTATTAAGAATTCACTGATCGAGTCTGAAATGAAAAGGGGATTTACCCTCTTTCCCCTTTTAAAAAAAAGTAAAGCCAGGTGCAGTGGCTCACTCCTATAATCTTAGCACTTTGGGAGGCCTAGACAGGAGGATTGCTTGAGACCAGGAGTTCAAGACCAGCTTGGGCAACATAGCAAGACCCAAACTCTACAAAAAATTTTTAAATAATTATTTAACCTGGTGTGGTGGCACACACATGTAGACCCAGGTATTTGGGAGGCTGAGGTGGGAGGATCTCTTGTGCCCAGGAGTTGGAGGCTGCAGTGAGCCATGATTGCACCACTGCACTCAGCGTGGGTAATGGAGTGAGATCTTGTCTCTAAAAATAGAATAAAAATAGTAATTTGAATGTGAGTTTGTTCCCCCTTTTTAAAAAAGCAATTGCACATCTTCAATTTGTTCACTCAGTGTTTAGTTATTGACCTTTATTTCCCTGCTTCTAATATTTTTTAAAAACTTGTTAGTGGCACACATGTTTAAATGTTCTTTCATCAAAGGCTGCATGTGGTGGCTCACACCTATTATCCCAGCACTTTGGGAGGCCAAGGCGGGTGGATCATGAGGTCAAGAGATAAGACCATCCTGGTCAACATGGTGAAACCCTGTCTGTACTAAAAATACACAAATTAGCTGGGCATGGTGGTGTGCGCCTGTAGTCCCAGCTACTTGGGAGGCTGAGGCAGGAGAATTGGCTTGAACCCAGGAGACAGAGGTTTCAGTGAGCCGAGATTGTGCTATTGCACTCCAGCCTGGATAACAAGAGTGAAACTCCATCTCAAAAAAAAAAATGTTCTTTTATCAGTAAGACAGGGAAGTGTCTAATTAATGTGGTTGGGCAGTGTTCCTTAGTTTTGGAATCCACAGTTCAGGCCTGTTTTTGTATAAGAGTAATAGATCTATCTGCCTACTTATGAAATGTTGACAGTGTTTCAATTTTGAATGAATTGATGTCTTCCAGTATAAAAATACAGTGAAAATTTGGCCATCTCTAAGCTTAAGGAGACCATATAGGCACATTTATAGCTATTAACTGCCCAAAGGCCAAAATTGTATGTGTACATATATGCAAGTGCATGTATATTTGTATATGTTTACATCTATGTACGCATGTACAGACGTTTACATACATGCACCTGTATACATGTATATTTTAAACACTTGTGGTAGAAATTCTAAAATGTAGACTTGCCGCTGGCAAATGTGTATATTTTGTTGTTGGTTGAGATGATTCTGAACGTTAATATTTTTTGACATAAGATAATTGGAAATTCCTATTTATAGCATGCATTCAGGCTGATTATTTTGATGACTGACTTGGTTCTTGACACATGAGTGGATAAGGTATTACATAAATATATGATATGTACACATGTGAATGAAATGAGGGCTGACCAGAGGAACCTTCACAAGCAACATTTGCATTTCTTAGTAGGAAAGTATAAGTAGATTTTTCTTAATTCAGCCTCCTCCTAGCATATATGAGAGCTGGCATGTTAGGCTTAAAACATTACTTATTAAACTTCACCATTCATGAATCCCCTGAAGGAATTAAACATTTTCTATTTTTAAAATGCCTGTAGCAAAACATACTAATACTTTTCCTGGGCAGTTCCCCAGTTTCTCTTCTTTGCAAGCAAAGTCGTCTCAGTTTTTTCAGGTTGTGTGCCACATGTATGGGTATGTGAACAGCACTTTTTGTTCACCTGTTTTTAACGTCACGTCATTGGACTCATGCTGTTTGCATTCATCTGTGACTTGCCTTCTCTCTGAAAATAGTATTTTTGAGGTTCATGCATGCTGATAACACAGCTGCAGTAGCTGTGGTCCATTTATTCGCACTGACATGTAATTTACTACTATGAAATTCTTCCATAACTTTTTATTTGTTTTATTATTGACGGACATTTGGGTTGTTTTCAGCTGTTTGCTTTTAACAAGTGTTCTTCTAAGTGTTCTGCCAAGAATGTGAGTAGACATGTCTTCTGGCATAGCTGTGCAAGCATTTCTTTCGGTCTCACGCCTGAGGGTGAAGCTGCAGCGTCAAAAGCATGTCTGTGTTCGGTCTCGGTAATGCCCATCATTTTCTGCTAAGGGGTAGAAGTCCTGCTAATTTCTCCCCCTCTAGTAAGAGACTCCTGCTCTAGCTTCTCCTGCTAGTACATTGTACCTGTTTTGTTTTGTTTTGGCAGGTGTTTTCATTTACTTTATGGTATTTTGGGGTCAAGAAATTCTCAATGACAGTATTTTTACTATATAAATATTTTCACTTAACACTTGTAATCTTTGTGTCTATTATTATTAATACTGTCAGCTTCTTACAGGATTACCCAGTCTCATCTTCACAGACCAATGCTTTCCACCCTTCTCAAATACAAGAGTCACCTGGGCACTGGCCCAGCTTAGATCTACCACATCGACATCTCTAGATGTTGGGCCTTGGCTTCTGTGCTTTATAAAAATGCTCCTAGATGGTAATTTGTAACATCAGTTGAGATTTGAGAAACATTACCCAGCCACACAGCTCATCTTTTCAACTAAAGCCCCGCTGGACGTCTCTAGCTTGTTGTATTATGACTTCTGTGGTAGAAAATGCCCCCATGTAACTAGCCACCATGTAACTACTCAGAAACATAGCCTCATTCAGAAAAGAAGACTTCTGAAATATGACTGCACAGTTGTCACGCTGAGTTCATTAAATGCTTAGCTCAGGCACTATGCAGAGCAGGGTGGAGGTCAGTAAACTTAAAATCTTTGTATTTCTGATTATTTTTTAAGGCAACCGCCAATGCATTATTTACTCAGAACCTTTCTTGTCTCTGAGGAGTTAATTCTGGCAATAAATAGGTCATCTCCTGCCAACTTAAAGTACAGCCGGGTGAGGTGGCTCACATCTGTAATCCCAGCACTTTGGGAGGCCAAGGCAGATGGATCACCTGAGGTCAGGAGTTTGCAACCAGCCTGGCCAATATGGTGAAACTCTGTCCCTACTAAAAATGTAAAAAGTTAGCCGAGCTTGGTGGCATGTGCCTGTAGCCTTAGTTACTCCGGGGGCGGAGGCAGGAGAATTGCTTAAACCTGGGAGGCGAAGGTTGCAGTGAGCCAAGATTGTGTCACTGCACTCCAGCCTGGGTGACAGAGTGAGACTCTGTCTTAAAACAAAAAAAAAAGTAATTTGTATTTCAATCTCAAAGCCTCTGAATATCAACTAGGCATCAAAATATTTCTCCTCTGTGAATAATTATATACAAATCACTGACAGATGATACAGGCCGGGTGAGATTGCAGTTGCTAACATGGGGAGGATGAGGGGAAGTGTGGATGTTGGAGAATGGCTGGGAGTTTGGTTTGGGAAATGCTAGCTTGAAATGCCTGTTGGATAGTGAAGTAGAGGACGAATGTGCAGATGTTCCAGCTAGAGATAAGGATTTAGGAATCATGAAGCCAGAAGAAAGTGTTTCCAGGAGTCTGAGCAGGCGAGCCAAATGCTGCCGATAGGTTGTGTGAGATAAAGATCAAGATTTGACACAAATTTAGCAATGTAGAGGTTGGTGGTGATCTAGAGGTCCTGGT